GCCTCCGGGGCCCTCGCTGGGCCTCGGGCGCGTCAAACACCGGTTCGGGACGAAAGACCGGTCACACGAGAGCGAATGCCAGAACACATAATTCCAAACATCATTTCAAAAGACTTGATTTCTTGGAGTGGCCATCGCTCTCGTGGATTCGCGCAGTAGTTCTGCGCGGCGGCACCGCCGTTACGACAGACTTGCCGTTACGACGAATCGCTGTTTTTTACTTGATCGAGCTACTGCCAGGAAAAAGTGTCTGGATAGAGTGTGGGAAGTGGTCCGGACCTCCGGGGCCCCCGCCTCGGAAACACTGGAGCAGCCGGGTGTTTGGGAGCGCCATGGCGAGACCCGAGCCCCGCCCCCCATCGATTCCGGAGAGCGAAAGAGGGAGGAGGGAGGCACCGCCAGGGTCCCAGGCCCCCGACGTCGCGATTTTTTCGCGACGTCGCCCCCCAGAGGTCGGGACCCTTTCCCCAGGGCCGTTTTTTCATCCTCGAGTCGTTCTTTAGCGGTCCCGAGGCCCGGGGAGGGCCCCCGGAGGCCGAAAGTGGTGAAAACCTCCCGTCGTGATTTTTTCACACCGCGAGGAGGTCTGGGGTCGGTGGCGGCAGGTCTGGCCCCATTTGCTATGAACGGATGGTGGGTGGGGGCAGGAGGAGGAGGAGGAGGCGGAGGAGGAGGCGGAGGAGGAGGAGGAGGAGGAGGAGGAGGAGGAGGAGGAGGAGGAGGAGGAGGAGGAGGAGGAGCAGGAGGAGGAGGAGGCGAGGCGAGGGCCCAGCGGCGGAGGCGGCCAGGGCGGCCGGGCGGCCAAGCTTGCAGCACGCCTGCGCGCTGTGCGCGGGCCCCCCGCCGTCGGGCTCTGGAAGGTCCGCTTGCGCAAGCGGAGAAGTCTGTCCCCAGACATGACCGCGTCGCAACGCACAAACAAAAACAAGGCGCGAGGTTTTTCATTATTTTCGGGCTCTGGGGGCCCTCACCGGGCCTCGGGACCGTCAAAAAGCGACTCAGGACGAAACACCGGTCCCGGGGAAAGGGTCGGGACTTAAGGGACGCCGTCCTGAAAAAATCAGGACGTCGCATGTCTGGGAATGTCCGCTTGCGCGAGCGGAGAAGTCTGTCTTGGCCGTGGCCCGAGCGCTTGAGTAAGCCAGGATGTGCAAATCGTGGGAGGTTGGATTCGGGATCGGCGCCGGTATATCCCTTGTCGACAGCTGGCCTGATCCGGCTTCATGCCGCCTAGACTGGCTCAATCCTGCTCTATCGGGCTTCGTCCGGATGCACTCTGGCTTACTCCTGGGCTTAACACGGCCTGGTCCGGCTCAATGGCCCATTCCTTAAGTAATAGCCCTTACTCATTCTGACGAAGACCTCCCAGAAGTTGCCTCCTGAAGAACGATCCCCGTCCGAAGGGGAAGTGGGAACGCCTCCGTCGGAGAGGAGAGTCGCGGGAGCCTACTGCGACGATTGTGCATACGAGTTTGTCCAGGTCGGCCCACACACATATATATATATATGAATATATATATTATATATCTATATATATATAGCGGAGTAGGCCGGGGGGGGGGGGGCCGGCTGCTGCCTCTGGTCGCCATGGGGGCCCCCCCGGGCCATTTTCTGGCACTCCTCACGAGGATCGTGGCCCCCTGGCCGAAAATTCCAGCCCTCAGTCTCCAGAAGCTTCCGAAGAGGCCACAAGAGGCCCCAGATGGTCCCCTGAGGGCCCCAAGAGAGCCCCAAGAGGGCCCCTGAGGGCCCCAAGAGGGCCTTCAAGAGTCAACAATCGGCATACTCGCTGGCTTCGTCTTCACAGTGCCCCCGCGGAGTCCCAAGACAGCCCAAGAGAGACCCAAGAGGGCCCCAGACGGCCCAAAAGGGTCGGCTTGTGGGGCTCACCGAACCCCCCGAGACGGCCCCAGAGGCCCCGAAGCCGGCCCAGGAGGCCCCCAAGACGGCCTCAGGGAGGCCCAAGAGGGCCCCGTTTGAAATCATGTTCCCGGAAGCTTCTCCATGAACATGACTTCCGGGTTCCGATGACGCCCTAGAGGGCCCCAGGACAGCCTCAGCGCGGCCCCAGAGGGCCCGAGGTGGCTTCAAGATGGCCGAAGAGGGCCCCAAAAGGGCCTTCAAGAGGCAAAAATCAGCCCGTCCACGTAGTAAAACGTACGGACTCGGCGCGAGACAACTGGCGACCGCAGCTGCCATCCCTTCGTGCTGGGCGCGTGCGAACCTGGCGTTCAGGTTGGACGGAACGTGTCGGGTCTGTTGCCAATCGGGGCTGCGCCAGGTTAGACCACCCCCAAGGTCAGGTTCGGGAATGGGTCGTAGCAACACGACGACGACGACGACGACGACGACGACGACGACGACGACGACGACGGCACGCCCCAACAGGCTCCTCAAGACGCCCCAAACCCATGCTCCCAGAAGGCCTTCTGGGAACCCGATTCATACGGCCTCCGCCCCCCTACACAACCATTTTCCTCGAAGGCCTTTCGGAATGCAG